TTTCCTGGCAACCTAGCCTACCCAGACTACGGTAGTCTTCAGGGAAATAATGGCTACCAAGGAAACTATCCTTATGGCAATACTGGCTCCAACTACGGTTTCCCATCCAATCAGGGAGGTTTCCAAGGACCGAATGGAGCATCCCAAAATGGCTACAACGGCTTTCTCAACAACAACGGTAATGGTGTCAAACAACCTAGTTTTGGATCGAACGCCATGCAAGGAGGCCAAAGAGCTTTTTTCTAATGTAATATTATGTACTGTCTAATTTTGATGTGCGGTTGTTGATGTTATAGGGGAGAAAATTAGAAGTAGCCTGAAATTAATGATATTTACACTGCAATAAAGATAATTTTCACAATTCTTCTAAACTTCACACAAAAATTCCATGCGATCCACCTTCCGAAAAGTGGTACAGTGTGAGAAACTATAATAGTGGCTTCTAAGTTGTCTCTTAGAACGCGACAGTCCCTGGTGCAAAATCCTGGTATATAGACAACAACTAAATCTTCAAGATATACCAAAAGTTGTTTGAAGTATCTCGACTTGCCCTTCATGTGCTGTTATACAAGGTTGGTCAAAAGTTCGTTCGCAGCATTTTCTGAGAAATGATCGTAACCCTCTACTGTCTGCTGATTTGCCCTGACAAATTTTAGTGGAGAGTTCATGTAGTTTCTAATGGTAGCTCAATTTCTTACTATCAGGCACAAGTCGCAGATATGAAAATGCGAAAACAGATCACTCGAATTTTGATAAATTTAAGCATCTAAAAATCCAAAAACTTTACAAAAAGTACGTATAAAATACACAGATACCACTGGCGTACCCAGGATTTCCGCTCGGGGGGGGGGGGGGCGACAAAAATTTTTTTCGAATGAAGGTGCGTGGCGTTGGTCACGCACTCCGAAAAATGTTAGGGGTGCCTCTTAAAATTTTTGCGGGTCCCCAACCCCTAAAATCTGGAAAAAGGGGGCGTGGCGTCAGCCACGTCCCCGAAAAAAATTTTTTATAAGGCTAATTTGAATTTTTAAAAATTTTTAAAAATTATTTTAATTATTTACAAGTATAAGCAAGTCATTTGCACATTTTTATAACCCTTATAAGCAACTTTCAAAAATTTCGCGATCCATTCTCGGGGGGGGGGGGGGCGCCCCCCACTCCCCAATCGCCCCTCCCCCCTCGGTACGCCACTGTCAGATACATATGACTATGACTTTTCCTTGCCAACGACGCAAAGTTTGTGCTGATCGAATGTTCCCTAAATTATGCTTCTCGAGGGTAACGCTCTGCATTTTTCAAGAAAAATTTGCTCTCGACTAACTCATACTTGCTCAGCCAGAAAGAGGATGACAAAACTATGATGGCTATTTCGGTTCTTACTGTGATGTTAACTCAAAAATGCTCTTTTTGAGTATTTTCTTCGTTGCTGACTCTAGCATTTTCTCGTGATAATTCAAGCAAAGGTACTGCTGTAAAGCACAAGATTTCTTTAAACAGAAATACTCCTAGAATTCTACGTAACCTACTGGAAAATCCCAAGTTGTTTTTTTCATAGGTTTCCAACTCTCGCACATGCTCACAATAATTTACGGCAGAGGCAGTGCAGTAAAGAGCTGGTTTACTTCCAAACAAAATTTTGATATGCAAAGTTGTTATGATTTTTTGATAAAGGCGGAGAATCGGACCAATCCAATATTTTTTAACTCACATGGCTTTTAGGTACTCAGTTGAAAACGCCAGCTTTAGATATTAGAATTTACTTGTGTTGATGTCAGTGTAGCCAATTTTGCCACTATTTGGAACGTATGGTTGTACAGAAGTTTACACTCTGCTAATTGTTTTCTGCAAGCCACATTTCAACTGATCTTGACACTTTGGCTACAACGCGATAACATACTCTGAAATTATGAGTTACAGATAACGAATATGGAATCAGCTTTGGAAGCTATCGCATTTGTTATACGGATTCCCCGAGCACAACATTATTCTTTGTTTGCATCAGTGCAATTTTATCCTATTAGCATGTACCGTAAATCATGCTCAAAACGTTCAACAAGCTGAGGCGACATATAATGGGTTAACTTGGAGAAATAAGAAAATTGAGAAATAGATATGAGATGGAATTGTTCAAAGTAAACAGCTGCGATTTTTATTAAGTTGTAACATAAGTCTTGTTGCACTTCAACTATTACCTTAGGGTTTCAGGATACCTTTCGATAGAGCAAAGCAAGCTCAACAGGTTGTTGAGCAAAAGTTCGCACCAGCTTCGACTCAGCGTAAGTTTGCACCCAGAATCTGAGTCGTACTGAAGGCTCAAAAAATAGGGGAATTCGTATCGTTCAAAATTCTACGGATCCCCAACTTGCTCACACAAATTGCACAGCACATCAGACATTCATATGTACCGTTCCTGTATTTCTTCCTCATCTAGAGATCGAGAAAAGGAAAAGCTTTATGCTTATAAAAAATGGCCTACGCTGTTCCCACTCATGTAATTAAATGGTACAAGTACTTAGAAGTATAGGCGTAAATTTTCACCTTTCCAAAGGCCCCAGTTTTCGATAATTAGCGGACTTAACTCTCCTCCCTCAGTGTTCCATGCTAAAATCAATATTTCTCGAAAACTAGTTTTGTGGGAAGGTGGAAGTTTACGGCTATACTTCTAAGGGCTTGTAGTATACAATTACATGGGTGGAAACAGCACAGCTTCGTTTTTTATAAGCATAATAATTTTCGTTTTCTCGATTTTTAAATGAGAATAATTACAGGAACGGTACCTATAAGTGTTTGATGTAGTGGCGAGGATGTTGGGGATCCGTAGAATTTTTCTGAACGAAGATATGAACTTTTTCCCATTTTTTGAGCAGTACGACTCAGGTTCCGATGAAAACTTAGGTGAGGCTGAGCTGGTGCAAACTTTTGCACCCATCGTGTAAAGCTTGCTTTGCTCCATCAATGGTTCCCTGAAGAGTATAAAAAATACGAAGTATGCTACTTATCGCAGTAAGAATTTGAAGTGTGACAAGTTTTATGTTACAACCTAACAAGAATGTAATTTAAGATTTACACGTAATTTCGAACAATGACAAGTATACCAAGATTTGTGGTTGGTCTAGACTTAAGTTCCAAGATTAGTACGACTTTCATTCGACCCACGTCTAAGCCTCTCTTTGCCAGAGCTTGTAAAAGGGAAGTGGGATTCACGCTCCCTATGTGTGGTCAGCTGCTAGAAAAAGACAGAAACACAAAGACACTTCTTCGAAACAGTTCCTCATTGGCTTATGGAGGCGAGTTTGCTTGCCGAGACGTTAGCCGAACAAAAGTTGCACTCATCCATTACACCTTTCTCTCTGTCAACTCTACTCTCAATGGTTACAATACCGCTCGTGATTTTGGAAAAACGACGCGAAGTCGCCCGATTCATGTGACATCAACGCAGCGCGGCCATATCTCGCTTCAGAGTGGATGAATTCTCAATCTATGAGCACCATTCGACTCAGCTCGGCGGCGGCGCATCTTCTGATATATGGTATTGCCTGTTTGGATACAGAGGAAGCCAGCACGAATCGTTCCAGATTTTCGATTACCGTAGGTTAATTTCGATTACCGTAGGTTAGTGCAAAGAATAAGCACACTGAGTTACTTTGAGCAAAAATCGAAAAGATTCGTGAAATCTGGCCTCCTACTGTGTCCAAGCGGACACTTCTACATATCAAAAGATGCGCCGCGCCGAGTTGAGTCGAATGGTGCTTTTGGATTAAGAATTTGTCCACTCTGAAGCCAGATATGACTATGCTGCGGTGATGCCACTTGAATCGGGTAACTTTGGCCCGCTCTTTTCAAAAATTACGAGCGGTATTGTAGCCTCAAGTATCACATATTCATTACTCTGTGACTTTAGAAACATGACAGCTGTATGTTTCGCAAAGCAGTAATCATCACCATATTTCCGTGTTAGTCCAGACTAAAGATAACCAAGTGCTATGTGCTAGTGCTGCTATGAAGCTCAAAATTTCTGAACTTCAGAGCGTTCGTCTTACAGTGCTGTAGTAGATCGAAGCTTCACATACAACGAGTATTGATGTGATGAACTTTGCAAAACTTCAAGTAGTGTCCACTACTCAAGGTACATTAAGAATTGCTTGCTAGGGTAGAAACACCAGTGATTTTGAAGCTGCTATACTGAGCAAGTTTTGGGTATAAAGATCAAACATAGAAACGGTATGAACTCTTGATGGTCAAACTTCATAAAGGAACTGTTCTATGTAATAATCTTTGATGATCGAAATGGTTTTTTGACAAACCAAATAATCTTTTTGATTGTGCAGCTGCATGTCAGAGCAAGCTGTTCAGCCCATGTTTGAACATATTTGAAACAGCTATTTTTTTAAACGTTGCAGACCGTCTTTGATCTTGATTAGAGGTGACTGAATAAATAAAGGCTAAATAAAAGGAAAGAAAACTTGGTTTAGAAATCAGGTAGATCCCTTTTCAGTTCACATCTAAGATATGTATGTGTATGGTTGGTAAAAACTCTGTAGTTTCATTAGCAGTCAGACTTTTTGCTTCATTTGACAAATGACAGGTTAGCTCTGCGATAATTTTTTGGCGCTTTGCTTATCCTCAGTAGTTGAAAGCTTTTTACCTGAAAAGTGCTTTGTAGACTAACTTTTATAAAGTTCTAGCTTTGCAAATCCTTCTATTAACAGTAGATTTCGTAATGCCATGCTTGTACTGTATTGTAAAATTAATCCAAGATTCCGTAATGTGCTTGTATTGTATTGTCGATTTAATCCAACAACAACCAACAAGATTATGAAAGGTTTTGGAAGGCATGGTAAGCATGATAGCATAGGATAGCACAGATAGCATAAGCAACTTGCACGATACAGAAGTTCGGCCAATCTGTTTTCAGAAAGCCGAAGTTTCTCTTTGGTACTCAGTTGTCGAAAAGCTGATGTGCCAACTCTTTTCAGCCTATTTTAGCTCAGTGTTTCAGAATGAAGCCTGTGCTGTTGCTGCTGTCGATTGGATCCGTATTCTGCGTCGTTTCAAATGATCTTTCCTATCCTTACTACTCTGACGAGGTCGGAATTTTATATTTGAACTGTTTGTCTTGCACTACAAATTGTTCTTTTTAGCGCAAGTCTAGGGAAGAACAAAGAGTAGAGAAAACAAGCACAACGTTTAACTTTTTACAAATTCTGCTCATATTGCCAAACCCTTTTTACAAATTCTGCTTATATTGCCAAACCAACTACTAAATTATTATACATGTAAGCGCATAAAATACGTGCAAACTGAATTTGTGCAGCTTACGTACTTGAACGGTCTCATTGTCAAAGCAAGAAATTCAAGTTTCAATTTTACGAAAGCCATTATCGGCATATGCAATGAGGAAGAGGACGACATCGAATCCCCCTGTCTATGAATGCAAAAATTCTAATGGCAGATCATACGTATGTATGTATGTTATGTGACCGTTACTATCTGCTACCTCCACAACATACATTTACAATTTGGTAGGCACCAGGGCACACGAAATGGGACACGAGCAAATGCTCAACTAAAAATGTTCAAAATTTGTGTTATAACTCATGGCCATTTTTTCTAATAAAAAAATGGAAAGAACATTCAAACTTTATGCTAATCAAAAATGGTTTGCTTATCAATCCTACCCATGCAATTGAGTGAAACTTCATCTTGCTTTGCATTTAAAACTTGCACAAAAGTTTAAGACGGCCCAAAAACTTCCAAAACCTCAGAAACTCTCCGCTGTGATGCCTTTGGATTACAACAGAAGTTATAGTAGTCTACTGTTAATTTATTTTAGATTGTGAACCAAGAGAAGACTGCTTTGGAGGACATTTTAGCCAGAGCTTCTCTACAGGGCATCGGAGCCTATTCTCAAATTGAACAGGTAGTCTCGGCTGATTAGGTCAACCGTTTGATGACAAATAACTTTCAATTTTCTCCATGTCTCATTTTATACCAGAAATTCTCACAATCGCTTGCTAATCTCAAAACTGCCATCGAGGAATGGGCCATAACTTACGGACTCGAGGTACAAAGTCTGCACAAGAAGGCTCTGATAGACTCTGACACTTTTCTTTTCATTGGCTATCTTCTAGCACGAGTACAGAAAAATCGCTAACGAGTCTGAAAGAGAAAATGCTGACTATAGAACGGCGGTCAGGGAGCTGTATCCTATTCTCACGGAGTTTCTAGGAAATTACATGAAAACTGGAGGCGACAAGGTAATTTCAAGTAAAGCCAAGCAGCGTTTGATTGCACTTCATCTTCCTTTTGCAGAAACAGTCATTGATGCTCGCTTTCAAAAGAACTTCTACCCTACCAAACAGGCAATCAGTTTTCGAAAGAATAATCAAATCTTATGGTCCATCACTGGCTTCCAGCAATGCAGGTAAGTTCCAGGTCTACAATAAAGCCACCAAAAATTCATTTGAGGAAACTATGGAAGTTATGCAGGCAGCTCCATAAGCTTTCCGGGGAACAGCGGCGATTACAACAGAGGTACTGGCGGACTTGGCAGACAAGACTATCCAGTGAATACGGAAGCTTACACGGACTACGGAGGATACTTTACCGGATATCAAGGATTTGGTGCTAAATACACGGACTACATTAAAGGATACCCAAGCAATACCGGCCTATTGCCAAGAGTTAATAGAGCTAATGGCAATCAGTGGCTCTTTTGAGTGGTTGAAATTTTTTGTATATTTTTTGGATAAACCTGTTTAGGATCATGCATGTAGCTCGGTCAATTTCCTTAAATAAAGGTACATATTAGAATGTTATCGAGATACATGCTGGTTTACTAGTGTTCGAAATATGACTGCAGAACACTTCTCACAAGGAATGAATACTAAGTCGAAATGGAGTTTTCATGTGAATTGTGTACCGTCTTATAGAGCATGGAACACTGTTTTCAAATCTGCTTTCGCTGTCTGCAAAGCGCTTTTGGGAGGGGAGTTATGGGAATATTTTGATGCAAAAAATTGAACGGGTTACTACAACAAAATCATTCAGAACTTGTCGGACACCATGAACTTTCCTTGGTGCCCGCAATGGGAGAGGAGTCATGGGTATTTTTAAAGCGAAAATTCGAACGCACGGCTACAATCACATCATTCAAAACCGAAGTCTGTGAGTTTGAGGCTATGATTACTTCCAGGGCGCTTTATGCTGTTATACCTTCAGCCTGATAGACTTATGCTAGTCATCATTCCTTTTTTGCGACAAAAAGACCTCAACACCGGTTTAACTCATTCAAACCCTTAATTTTCTGTCTATCTTGAAAAATCCCCATAACTTCCCTCACAGGAGCGCTTTGCAGATATCGAGAGCAGATTCGGAATCAGCGTTTCTATACATATACAATCTACACGAAAAATCCATTTCGACCAAGTATCCTTCCCATGTCACTGTTGACATTTGATATATACAGGGTGTCCCAAAAGTATGTATACACTGTTTGAATGTTAATATCTCTCTTCCATAAAAGTTTTTTGCCTATATTAGTATACCATCTTGTTGTAGAGCTGGCTTCAACTTAGATTAACAGTATGCAGCGAATCAATGATCTTTGTTTGTTACTGTAGGACTGCGGTAGGAACCTCAAGAAGAGTTTGTGCCCTTGAGGGCCTATTTCGCTTCAAAACGTAATTAAAAAGTCTGGAAATTCTTACATTAGACTAGTTAGAGTCGAAAAAACCAAATATGACTTTTGCATTTGACCGCGATACTTCCTTCATAACTTATGCCATGTAAACCGTAATACCTGTCTTTACAATGCTCCCTAAAATTGTGATCACACCATTTGAAAAGCTTTACAAACTTCTAGAAAGCTGAGTAGTGAAATCAGAGTGCTTATAATCCCTGGTATACCTCTTTTCAGAATTTTTGGAAACTTTTATGGAACACGACTAATCCTGATTCCTTTCCTATCACAATCCTACAGAAATGAGAGCGATTAGTGGCTCGCTAGTAAACGATCAGGGATACAATGAGCATATGACTGTGTGCAACACTGCAAGTTAAATATGAAATGAATGTAGATGCTCGTACGCATACTCCTGACCGCAGGATGTACCAGGCTGCTTAGAAGCTGGATGGATATAAATGAAATAGTAACAGGTGCACGCGGAATACTCATAAGTCGTTTATGAGAGTTTTTTTCATAACCTCTGTAAAAAATCGTTTGATATGAAACTGTGCATTTGTTCAATCAATCTTTTTTCGATCTATTCATGCTCTATAATAGCGATCAGCACTGACTATCCAAAGCTGTTATTTTATTCATAACTGAGTTGTTCATACAAAGCCATTGCCACTCATGTCAGTACTCTTTGAAACCGTTTCCTGAAATCTTTTGAAACGTGTTAGTAACAAATCAATCCATTGTTCTATCAAATATCCAGTCCTGCACATGAAAAACTAACATAATCAATGCATTTCTCCAATTTTCATTTTCTGCGACATAATTAGTGGCTGGCATATCTATGCTTGGTTGTTTTGTACACAAAAGTTCAGCTAATTCTTGAACAATGCAACTACGTACAGTGTTGTGTTTGCAATGTTTAGCTTTACTTTTGGGCATAAGCTTATAGAAAGACTTTGTCTAGGAAAGGCATCTATAAAGCTTGTTAAGCCATTTTATTGCTCATGTATGCACTCTATCTGATTGTAGTCTTCGTATCTCAACTGCGTCCATTGACTAACAATGTCAACGACGCAGTTGAGAAACGAAGACTACAAGCAAATAGAGTGCCTTTTTTTTGATAGCAGCAGCTTCTACCCAAATCCACCCAACGAAAGATCAAACTACAGGATTGCAATCGCAGTGTCACGGTCGGCTGGGTTCGGGTCCTCGCGAGCCGCCTTGCTTGGAATCTCGCCGCGTTCGCTCTTACAGTTAGTGCAGCATGCAGTAACATCCCCGCCGAATAAGGATGTCGCGGCTCAAAAAAGCTTTGTATCCTGAAACTCGATGTCGAAATGTTACGCTGTCTATCTCGTGAGTATTCCTACTACCCGTCACTAAAAACATATTGAACAGAAGCATGATTTTGTACAATCCGCATATTCCAGCTTTTTGTATGATCTCCTGGCAATCTCCAGTGGCGATTTTTTTCTTCAAAGTACTTTTTCTTTCTTTTAAATTAGCAAAAACGTCCAAAGTTTCACTGTTTATTTAATACAAAGGCTAAAAATATAATCTCCTACTTATGCCGAACAGGTTTGTTACGGCAGTATCTTTACGTATGGCCTAACGTTTCGGCGCGTTCGCCGCCCTCAGAGGCCGAAAACGGCACAAATCATCATCTAAGAGACCAAAGCATCAAACGTCGCTTCTAACTTTGCTAGACCTCTTAGTTCAATCCGCAAGAATCTCCCCAAAACAGAGATGAATCCACCGTTTACGCCACCTCTGTATGAAGTGTCCGCGCCGGAAGAAGAATATGACAGTACGACTGAAATTATGCGGCAGAAGCGAACAATTGAGCTATAGTCTGGAGGGCAGATAGAGTGTCTACGGAAACAGATAAAGTCTATCTATCATCTATAGCGCACATAGTGCTATGAACGGCAGGAAGTCGGCAGTGATGGACAAGCACTCGTCCTTGTTATTCATTTCTGGACTCTTTGCCGAGATCCAGAAAGCCTCTAACGCTTTTTTAGCCGAGATCACGTTCTCCTGTGTCAAAATCGTGCATTTAATTTCGAAGTCCTTTCCATCATATGAGTCATTCCTATGCCTACCCAGCGGTGTCATTAAGCTTTTCTGTCTTTTGCTTGCCAGACATTGTTTGATTCGCACGCTAAGTACTCTGCCAGTTTCACGACATACAGTGCGCCGCAATCAAGGCATTTTGTTGTACAATCCCTAGCGAGCTTAATGATATACATTTTAATCAAAATCAACCAGGCATCTCTCGCAAGCATTTGTATTTGGGTTTATCTTGTACTAGTTGACTCCGGCTCCGCCCGGCACTGTCATTACTATATTCGTAATCAGCATGCTCGATTACCTCCCTGTGCCAACTCCCAGTTCCGTAGCTCAAATTTTTGAAAAAATCGATAAATCGAAAAAATCGATAAAATCGATATCGATCGATGACGAAAAGTAGCCTATGACACCCGCCGGGGCCCGAAGTGTATGTGTGCCAAGTTTGGTCCGGATCGGTTCAGAAATGGAATTTTCTATTCGGAACATACTTACAGGCAGACAGACAGACAGACATACAGACAGACAGACAGACATACAGACAGACAGACAGACGGACCAGTGCGTCACCTCTGCTTCGCAGAGGCCCGCACTGGCCCTACTATTTATGTACCTTGCTCACTCTCGTAGAATTGTGGCACTGGAACTCACCGCGCTATGCCGACTACCACGAATAAAATGTAAACAACTACTCATTTGAAAAGCTTTTTCACGTGAGATCGGTGATTTCGCGTGGATGAAGCTTTTCGCAGGAAGACAAACGCAAATTTAAATAGGTTTTTGAATTTGAGATGGCTTGGCAGTCGCCATAAGGACAGTAAGCAACGTGAGCTACATCTCTGTGCGAAAATCTTCTGAAATGCTTGGCTAGAACCTTGGCAAATTGACCATTTACGCAACCAATTCTTTTTGGCGCCGTTCTCGTTATGTAGTAAACTTTTGACCACTTTTTGGGCTAAAGTCCATCGTTTGCACGTTTGCTAACCGAAAACACCCACGACCTTGCAAAAAGTGGTGATACGGACCCAATTTTGCGGGACAAAGCCAGGTGGGTCCGTTTGGCGCGCAATTTCTGAGGGATCCACTCAACGAATCTACTCGTGCTTTTGCAGTTAGACTTTCATGAAGGGAGCATGCGCTATGCAAAATTTGGGCTTAGAACAGTGGCTGGAACACGCTCTACGAATTTCGTAACAGACGGACACACACACAAAAACACGTAAACAACCCTTAGCCCGTTATTATAAGGTCTTTATAGTGAATTCTTGATATATTGAAAGTGAGTGAGTCTGAGTCTGAGTCTTGTGAATGTATATAGTCAGGGAGACATACTTGGGCCTAGGACCTTCTGTCTTTCGGCTCCTCGCTAAAGTCGGATTTACAATAATAGCCGTCATAGGAACGCAACAAAATTTTGAGCTGGTCTACTTCTAAACCTTTCGAAAGCTGAATGCGAAATTGAGTTTGAATGTTCGTTTGATGAAAACAACTTCTTTCAAAGCTCTCGCTTGTTGATGGGTATTGTTTCGCTACCATGAGTCTTTTGTAATCCGACAAACCGCTCTCTTGTAACCCAGTCAGGCACTGCCTTCGCAGACTGCTTTTCCCTTCGCTCTACCAATGTACTCGTATGTGGACCAAAAGTCCGCGGAGGAGGTGCATAATTGAAGTAGTCATACCTCTACCTATTTCTGAGACAATGTTTATCCTTTCGCTGCAGTGCTAGGATGCGCTTACCTAAACGAAGATTCTCTACAGTATCGCCTCTAGATAGCAACCCCTCGAACTGTAATCGAAATCTTAGTGTCATACAGCAGCGCTGCCAAAGCTGTTGCTTCGGCCACAACTAAGTATGAACTTTCACATGTAGGCGAGCCTTTGCAGTCCCTAAAAGCTTTTACGACCAAATTGGACTTGCTTGTAAGAGAGAGCGGAAATGGTACCAGCGAAACGTTTGCAATATCCTGTAAC